AGGGCTGATTTTCATAGCCACGCCCACCACCAGGGCTTATTTTCATAGCCACGCCCATCACCAGAGCTGATTTTTATAACCGCGCCCATCACCAGGGCTGATTTTCATAGCCACGCCCACCACCAGGACTGATTTTCATAGCCATGCCCACCACCAGGGCTGATTTTCATAACCACGCCCACCACCAGGGCTGATTTTCATAGCCACACCCATCACCAGGACTGATTTCCATAGCCACGCCCATCACTAGGGCTGATTTTCGAGGTAGGGCTTCTATTGTGCACATGCTTAGACATCCTGCTGGGGCTTATTTTATGGGTAGGGCTTATTTTCGGGGAAACACAGTAAGAACTGAATTAATGTTCTATCAAACAACTCAGGTTATCTTCATAGGCCCGGGGAATCTAGTTCCCACTGGTTAGGACAGGATGGCACCTCACCCCAGCCCATATCCTACTCCTGATGGTCACTATGGTCATATATATTTATTATATATATATTTTTTTCTTTATATTTTTAAATTTTTAATTTCTTTTTTGAGACAGAGTCTCGCTCTGTCGCCTGTGCTAGAGTGAGTGCCGTGGCGTCAGCCTCGCTCACAGCAACCCCCAACTCCTGGGCTCAGGCGATCCTCCTGCCTCAGCCTCCTCCCGAGTAGCTGGGACTACAGGCATGCGCCACCACGCCCGGCTCATTTTTATTCTATACATATTAGTTGACCAATTAATTTCCTTCTATTTTTAGTAGAGACGGAGGTCTCGCTCTTGCTCAGGCTGGTTTTGAACTCTTGACCTTGAGCCATCCTCCCACTTTGGCCTCCTAGAGTGCTAGGATGACAGGCGTGAGCCTCCGAGCCAGGACTATTTATTATATTATAGTACAATACGAATATGGCTTGTGGAAATGGTGCTAATTAGCATGTCCACAATAACAGGGGTCTTTATGTGACAATGAGCTTCGAATCTACTCAGCTTTGCATTATAACTAGCATGTTTCTTGGAAATAAAAAGGTCTCAGCAGTTTACAAACAGAAGCATCAATGTTGAACAGAAACCACCATTTAGGGACCCTAAAGGTCTTGGTGGAAGAGGACAATTGTAAACACCATTAAAAAAGTAAAGGTTGGCAGGGGGCGGTGGCTCACGCCCATCATCCTAGCACTCTGGGAGGCCGAGGCCAGAGGATCGCTCGAGGTCAGGAGTTCGAGACCAGCCTGAGCAAGAGCGAGACCCCCGTCTCTACTAAAAATAGAAAGAAATTAATCGACCAACAAAATATATGTAGAAAAAATGAGCCGGGCGTGGTGGCGCATGCCTGCAGTCCCAGCTACTCGGGAGGAGGCTGAGGCAGGAGGATCGCTTGAGCCCAGGAGGTCGAGGTTGCTGTGAGCGAGGCTGACGCCACCGCACTCACTCTAGCCTGGGCAACAGAGTGAGACTCTTGTCTCAAAAAAAACAAAAACACCAAAATTGTTCTTTCCCTCCAAGTTTCCTATATCTCTGAAATATTTCCTAATAAAAAGAAGCCGGGGGGAAAGCCAGGGCTGGCGTTACCTCTGAACTTGGCGTGGGTCTTGAACTCGATGACCAGCCGGCCGTCCTCGCGGATGTAGATTCTCAGGATCTGGAGCCTGGCGGAGAGCACGCTGTCGGTCTGGATCCCTGCTCGTTTGGCCTCCAGAGTGTGGGATGACAGGCGTGAGGCCACTGCGCCCCGGCCTCCAGATTCTTTGTTCGATGATTTTTTTTTTTTTGCTTGAGGCCAGTTCTCACTTTGTCGCACCAGCTAGAGTGGTGCCGTGGCGTGCAGGCCTCGCTCACAGGGCAACCGTCAAGGACTCCCGGGCTCAAGGATCCTCCTTGCCTCAGACCTCGCCGGATGCTTGGACTACAGGCACCGTGCCCACCATTCCGGCTAATACTTTTTCTTTCTACATATTTGTTAGTTGGGCATTAATTTCTTTCATTTTTGTAGGAGACGGGGTCTCCACTCCGTTGCCAGGCTGGTTCGAACTCCTGACCCTCGAGGCATCCTCCCCTCCAGGCCTCCCAGAGTGCTGGGATGGACAGGCGGTGAGCCGCTGCGCACCGGGCCTCCGAAGATTCCCCCTTCTGCAAGCCTTAATCAAAACCCACTCTTTTTTTATTTATTATTTTCTTTATCTACTTATTTTTTCTTTTATTTATAGTATCGTATTATTTAGCGGTATTGATGGGAGTACAGAAATGTTAAGGTCACGGATTACATTGCCCGTGGCCTCCCCTCCCCCCATCGAGTCGAGCTTCAAGGCGTGCCATGCCCCCAGACGGTTGTACATCCTCACTCAAGAAAACGCACCATTCCCTGGCCGGGCGCGAGAAGCTCCACGCCTGTGATCGCCAGCACTCCTGGGAGGGCCGAGGCGGCGAGGTTGCTCGAGGTCATTGTGGTTCGAGGGGACCACAGGCGCTTGAGGCAAGGGAGCGAGAGCCCCCGTCTCTTGACCTAGGTAAATAGGAAAGGAGAATTTAACTGGCCAACTAATTGTATATATAGAAAACAATGATTAAGCCT